AAAGATGTGGCAATTCGTGACACAGAAGTCACAGATAATGCAGAAATGTCCCGTAAATCAGTTCGAATACGAATAGTTTTCTATACTTTTATGGAATGTATTCACCCTGTTTCGTCTAACGTGATGAAGAATTGATGGTTGAGTTTTCCCACAATCATATGCGTATAGCTGGCGTTTCCAGTGAATTTCACGTAGCCTTGTTTTCCCAAAGGATATTCTCATTCATACTGGACTGCAGTTTCGACTTCGCCTAGGTCTTATCAACACCCGAGTCAAGAGAGTAGAACATGGAATCTCGACAAGTTTTCGATACCTCCAGTGACTGTTGAATAGAAATCAAGTCGTCTCAAGACGCTAAAGGCTATTCATTAACTTTTCCTACTCGCCTCATTGAATTCGATTATGTTACTTATTTTCTAGTCAGCTTCCATTCTTCGAATAAGAAATTAGGTCGGCGTTAAGGTCGACATTACTTACTTTTGATACGACTAGTTTTTGAGGCCATTGCATCGTCACCAATGCTTGCAATTCTCTTCGACAAAACGGAATATTTAAACAAAACCGTTATTTCTAACGGTCACTTCCACGTAAGCCCTAAATGATTCATTTGGTTTGGTGGTCTACAACTTATAAGTAGTTGCGAGATTGGCCTCTGTATGTGTGAGTGAGTATATGTGCATGTATAGGGCTTGCGGTATAATGAGATTTCATTGTGAAGTTATTAATCACATAAAATGATTAAACGACGAATATGTGACTTTTCCTACTCACCTCATTGCATTCTGGCATCTCACTTATCTTCTGTATGAACTGTTTCCGAGATTTCGGTAATTATAGAATAACAACTTTTCATCCTCAAATCTAGTTATCCTCACTCTTGTTATCAGATATTAGACATTGTTACAACCCAAAAGCGAGTCGCCTATGATCGGACAAGGTGAGATGGTTTCCATTCTGAATTGGCTCCAAAATAAGCATCAAGTTGGCAGAATTTGGATCCCTCACCGAGATTCCAACCCGCCCCCTGGCAGCCGTCCTCCCTGCCGACGTCTCTGTCTCTCTCTTCACATACACTGACCCACACCCACACACACACACACGCACACAGCTGTCCTTTTTGAGGTCAGGTCAGTTATGCTCCCTACGCGATAAGAGAACAGGTCGTACACCTGGTTGTCAAGTGGGCATGAAACTTGTCGTCCCTCGGGTGTCCAACCGAGCCCTCAAGGTGCGCATTATGTTGTGCTTGGTATGATTGTGTTCGTGTGTGTATGTCAGATGGTGTGTGGTTGTATGTCAGCGAGACGTAGGGCGATGCGCCGACAGGTAGGCTGAGCAACTCGAGCTGGGCGTCGAGCAAAGGACGTCTGTCGGAGTGGAGACAGAACCGGACAGCAACGGGGGCCGTAAATTTCACTTGTTCCCATCAGCTACGAAAAAACATTAAACCTCCAAAAGGGGCCTCTTCAGATCCACCGGCCTGCCTGAGCAGGCAGGACCCCCGAGGAGCCTGTCCTCACAACTGGTACAGACTGGCGCGCCAGTAAATCAAGCCTAAGCTGGTCAGGTCCACTTGCTGTAGGTCCAGTTTGTTGGGCTGTTGAAAAAGACAAACCCGGCAATTTGGGCAAAACATCGGCTTGCTATAAGCTTCAATCTACCTTGATCCCATCGGACCCCTCCAATTCTGCCTAATTATCATGCGGCTCTATCCGGGAGTCCGGTACCCACCAAATTGACGCTCAATCAGCCTTCACCACCACCACCACAACCCTACATGCAGGCATGCACGTCCGGCCACATGCATCTACAGCTGGTCGTCAATCCGTCGGCCTGTCAACCCAACAAACTATTCCTCTTTACTGCCCATCCAACAGGTAGTCTGGATTCGACTCCGCCGGAGTTGTTCTGTCGTTTTATGAAACATCAGAACAATATGCTACTACTTATTACAAATATGAGTAGTTTAAAAGCAAATTAGTAATTTTCTAATAAAATTGTAGTCTAATTAGATCACAAAAGGTTATTTAGTCTTTAATCATCAAATATTCCTACAAATCTTATCTCATTCGTCGACCTTGCTTACTTTCTGTATTATTATTCTTAAAACTATCAGTAGCGAGAACTAGCTCAGCCTATGTCACATAATATGGCTTAAATACGTATAGTTTTCCTACTTAACTCATTGCTTCCGACGATGATAATTATTTTAGATAGATTAGTAGTTTTCGAGACTATCAATACTTCTTTTAGTGAGAACTTGTTTATAAAAGCCGCACAATATAGTTTAACTTCGTATAGTTTTCCTACCAATCTCATCGTACTCATCGACATTATTTACTTTCGATATAAGTAGGCTTCAAGGATATCGGTAATTCTCTATTAAAAATATAGTCGCATTAACCTAAATAAGGCAGGTTAGTGCACTCGTCGACGTTACTTACTTTTGATACGAGTAGATTTTGAGGCCATTGCATCGTCACCAATGCTTGCAATTCTCTTCGACAAAACGGAATATTTAATCAAAACCGTTATTTCTAACCGTCACTTCCACGTAAGCCCTAAATGACTCATTTGGTTTGGTGGTCTACAACTTACAATAGTTGCGAGGTTGGCCTCTGTATGTGTGAGTGAGTATATGTTCATGTATAGGGCTTGTGGTATAATGAGATTTCATTGTGATGTTATTAAGCAAGGCGCAAAACATTAGCTTTTTTTAACTTGAAGCCCATCAATATCAAGAAAGCCCACCCAGGGAATATAACCTTTAAGCTAAACATAAATATCACAAATCCATAAATAATCCTTAGTTATAACTAACTATTACCATATAAAATGATGCGTTTAGTAAACCAAAAGTCACACTAGATTTAACCCTAATTGAAACCGATACCATAGAACTACACCAAAGACGCCAAAAAATATCCCGACCACAAACCTAACCTTAGAACTAATACGGACCAGCACGAAACCCTAAAAATGGTTCTTATCATAGTTGAAGTTTTACAGCCAATCCCAATTATAACCCAAGCACTAAAGCAAAACTTGACCCCAAACCCAATCCACCCCATCCTCACGGGAATTCCGCCTCTATTTCTAATTCAAGAAAAGTTATAAACCTAAACTTAATCTTAATCCTAGCCCTAAATTATCTCTCATGGGATGGCGGCATATTCGCAGATCCAAGGCTCGAATCCCGCTCGAGGTGCGATGAGACATGGAGACAAGGAAGGACCAAGAAAGGTCTTTCAAGAAACAGTATGCAGTACAGCCCTTTAGGGCTAGGAATAAAAGTTCACAAGACTGCAAACAAACGAATATTTAATGTCGATTTTGATGGCAAAATGTTCATATCGAAGTT